CAGTTTATGACTCGTATTTGAGCCTTATTGTGGCGCTAATTAAAGGTGTTTGATAGCTTGTGGTTTGTGGGCGTTGAGGTTTGGTTGGAAAGTAAAGAAAGACAAGGGAAATGCTGTCAAAATTTTCACGGAGCTTCTGCACAGTCTTGGGAAATTTGCTATATCTTGATGTAGGAATGTCGGAATTGATTTCCGTTTGTTGTGTTTTAAACTAGATTCATAGGGTTATAAACTGTGTAAATTTAAGACCCTGATTATGTCTGTACCATTTATGGTGATTTTTCAAAATTGACTGAAATATTGTACCTGTTCTGTCTTTCACTGGATAAAGCAGCAACTTGAGGCTTGAATTTGACTGACTTATGTTCTGAATCTTATGAGGGTGTTCTCTGGAAAGTTATAGCCCTTTGAATGTATTTTCCAACGGTATAACTTTTACTAATTTTGGACTTACAAAACTTGAGATATGATTTTTCATATAGGGTTGTGTGAAACTGGAAAATCCTGTTTTCTTAGTATCGATCTTACTTTCATTTTCTACTTCAAATTTGGAGTTGGTCAGTCATTTTAGGTAGGGTTTTGAGGTTGTTCATGCCTTTAGGACTAATCGTTACCTTTTCACTCCAAAGTCACTTCTTCGCTTTACATTAATGGTTCATTTGGATAGGCACCTGACTTGTAATCGAGTTTTACTTGCGAATTCCACTTATTAGGTTTTGGAGTCCAGTCTTAAGTGTTTGCCTTGATTGTTCTAGGAGGTGCCGGCGAGTAAAGCCACACTTGGGAAGGAAACTTTTGAAATTATCCTTGTTTGATCAGGTGAGTGTACCACTCCCCTGAATTATTGCTAAACTGGTTTCCTGTACTTGCAAATTGCTAGTTGAATGTCTTTCCTGACTGTTTATCTTGTATGAGATGAGGGTGTACTTTATCACACTCATTCTCTTGCCTGTACTGAACAAACTGGAATCTATTACTTGTACTTGTTATGTACTTGAACTTGTTACTTGCACTTGTTATGATGTCGTTTGGAAGAGTATCCAACGACCTTCCTGTTAAACCTGAGCTCAACCTCATGGGGAGTTAATTAAATCGAGCCAGCGAGGGCTTGGTCGAGATAATTGACAATCCATGGGTGCCTGTTCCCGGGGAATCTTTGGGTATTGAGACTCTTGATTCCGGTATACTCGAGTATTACCATTCCTGTTCCTGTTTGGCGTTCGGGCCCGGTAAGGGGTATGTTTGGTGAACGGGATTTTGGCGTTAAAGTGGTGATCTACTGGACTGGTTCCTTTATTTGAACGTTGACGGAGGGTCAACAAGGCTGGATCAAGTATTGCAACGGGGATTTGGCTCCTGAGAGCCACCTGTATCATTGAAATTGTAATGTTCGTTCATTTCTTTTACTTGATGCGGATATGTGTCCTATAAATGTTTTCTCATGATTTCTACTGTTATATTTTTGGTACCTCATTGAGCTTCTAGCTCACCCCGTTTCGTTATCCTTGTTTTTCTTACAGGAAATCACCTTTTGAAGACTATGATGTTTGAAGCATGAGTTGAGCTAGTTTTAGTATTCTTTTGTATGGCTCCTCGATGGTTGGAAAACCTTAAATGTATTTTAACCAAACAATTCCCTTTTGAATTGTAAATTTGCAACCATGTGTATATAAAAGTGTTTAACCATGTTCATGAGTTATTTTGGTTTGGAAATGTTCTTTTCTAGGGTTATCTAAAGTTGTTGTGCTTGTTTGGGTTTCGGACAGTGCATGTTATCTTCTCAAAGTTCTTTTGAGCGGTTGGTAGGGTTTACGCTCGTTCCGGATCCGTAGTCCCGGCGAGAGCTGGGCAGGCGGTCCGCTGAACCCTTTGGTTCGCCTTAGGGGGAGGTGGTGCTGTCATAATATATTTGTGACGCCCCCACTTCTCCCTAGGGCGAATCCAAGGGTATCCGCATAACGCCTGCCTAGCTCTCGCCAGGACTCGATACAAGTCTAATTCAAACTTAAGGATAAACAACCAAATAATAAAGGTCGAAGTAAAGAAAAGTCGCTTCCTTAATAAAACATTCAAATCTTACATCATAAGTTACCAAAAGTACATCAACTTTTTCCAAAAATACAACCACTAGAAGTCGACTAATCAATTACATCCAAAAATTCTAAACAAAAGTAATCAGGTCGACTTCTCCAAAATCTTTCCAGTCCGAGCTTCTGTTAAGGAAAACAAACTAATGGAGTGAGCGAACGCTCGGTGAGACCAAAAAAAAGAAAAAAAATATGCAAACACAGTTCAAGTAACAATAACATTTGTACAAGAATTAAAGCTAGAAAGTCCAACTAATTCACAATTAATAATAAAACATGATTAATAAGGATACGGGAGCTCTCAAGAGCTAAATTCCACTTGCTTTGCCAAGGCTCGATCCAATACCTCCACGTGATGACACTCCATCAACCAGATAGGTATTAAGCCCGTAGAAACTCCACTTACTTCCCTCATCCATCATTTCACCCTCTCGGATCCGTAACCAAACACGCACGAAAAGGGCGATACTACACGAGTAGGCCGAACAAGATTTCAAAAGATCAAGTTTTATTTTTATAATATTCTCATGGTTCATCAAGCTTCTCGACCAGGCCCATGCCGGCTCTAGTTGTAAGGTTAGCCAATGAGATTTGGGCGTCCCCCACGAGTACACATATAATAGTCGACGAGGTTCACTCCAATCAACATCCAAGTTCAAATTTAATACAAACCAAGTTCAAGTAAGTTAAGTAATAAGTCAAATAAAGGAGAGCGAGTGTGATAAAGTACACACTCGCCTCATCAAGTTATGTTCACGTGTACAAGTAAGATTAATCAAGTAAACACAACAATTCATGCACTTGACACTCACCAATTCAAAAGTAATGGAATAAGTAAAGTCTTTAGTTGTCCCCTCCGAGATTCTCTTCAAAACTCGCTTGAGCACTTGAAGAAATAGTGATCATACATCACTCATGTAAACTCACGACCACTTATCATTCAAGGAAAAAAGTACATTCGTTTAAATGTAGAACAATGCCACAAGAGGGCTTTACTCTATTGAAATTCAAGATTCAAAAGTAAGGATTTAAAGTCACAAGGAAAATTTGCATCCTCCATGAAATCGGGTTTAAAACGGTCTATCAATATCGAAAGAACGTGAAAAGTTTGCGCGACAAAACTTGGAAAATTAGATCTTGAGTTTGGTATATCCAAAAATGGAAAACTTTATACCGTTGGAAACTAGATTCAATGTACTAAAACTTCCCTGAAGATACTTTTCTAAGATTTCAACCAGAAAGCATTCAAATTTCAGCTCAAGGTAGCAATTCCAAGAAGACAGGACAGAACCAGTCTTGGTTTTTCAGTAATGTTTGGAAATTCGGCAAAATTCACAGAAAGTGAATCAGCCACTAAAATTTATAACACAACAAGAGTTCCAAATCAAGTTCAAACACAACAAGCAGAACTAAATTTGAAGTTTTGAACAACAAGATATAACAGTTGAAAGTTGACTGGTTTTAGCAACCTGTTCAGAAGTTTTTCCAGTTTCCAGCTTAAACACAGTTTTGAAATCAGACCATATCTAACTCTACACAAGTCCGAATTGAGAATGGTTTATGGCTTTAGAAACTAGGTTCAAAATGCTACATTTCATCAGAAGACATTGTTTCCAAAATCTTTTCACAAGTGGGACAAAATCGAACCACAAGATGCAGCTTCCCAGTTTCTCTCGGACAGACAAACCAAACAGGTCAGTCCATTTTGCTGATTCGCTAAGGTTCACTCAAAATGAACTAGCAGGGGATTCTTATACTTTTGAAAGCTCTGAATGTCTAGTTTTGAATGCCACAAACGGCACTCAATTTCAACTTTTGTACAAAGAGTTATGTTCAAGCAAAGAACCCCTGTCCAGCTACCCTGGTAAACATTTTCCAGATTTCGAACTTTTCCAAAACTCAAGTTTTATACAACCAATCGACATGATTTTTGAAAGGCACTTTATACACACATAGTACCACATATATCCATCAATTTAATAGCCAAATAAGCAACAAAATTTTGAATTAAAAGCAAGACAACCAGAACAGAAATTTGGCCAGCTCACTCTCACGGTTTCTTCCAACTTTCTCTCATCTTTTCAAGCCAAAATCATCTCATTCATCACATAAACAACAACAGTCAAGCAATATATCCTCAAGTCAGCTACCTAAAGGCCTCCTCAAGACATCTAGCTTAGGATTTAAAGCAAGATAAATGTTTCCTCAAATCCGCTAGCCTATAAACTTCATTAGGGTTTCAAACCCATGAAATCTAACCATCAATCTTAGTAAAATTTGAAAGGTTAAAGGAGATGAAGTGATTACCCTTTAAACCCTAGATAAAGACCAGATTTTTCCACCAAAATCACCAAGCAACACCTCAAGCTTTCACCTTTCTTCTAGTGGAGCAACAATCCAAGGGATTGTGAGTTGGATGGAGTGAACTTGGAGCAAGAAGTTGAAGCCTTTCTCTTCCCTTTTCTTTTCCTTTGGTTGGCCGACAGTGAGGAGAGAGAGAGTGAGGGTTTTGTGGTTTGATTTCTTAGAGGGAAAGAATGAAAAAGGTAACCATAAAGTGTGCACAAAAGTCAACCCTCAATAGTGTGAAATAGTGTCGTGCACTACCACTTCCTCTCTTGTTTGATACACTTATGCACTAATCATCCAAAGTACTTCCTCTAACATTTTAATTACTCATACTTAAGAGCCTAATACTAATTCCTCAAATCTCCAATTAATCGGACCGGCATGACTTTCGAGAAACTTTCAACGCGCGCGCGACAAAAAGCGAAATTTAAGGGAAATTCATGCAATACTAGAATAATTAAATAACACTAGGGCAAATAATTATAAAAATGACTAAATTAAGAATAAAAACATGAGTCCTCACATCCACTCCCCTTAAAAGAATTTCATCCACGAGATTCATACCTTGATTTGGAAATAGGTCTGGATATTTCTTTCGAATTTCCTCTTCTATTTTCCAAGTTGCTTCCTCTATTCCATGATTCTTCCATAGAACTTTGACCAAAGGGATTCGCTTATTCCTTAGTTCCTTCACCTTACGATCCAGAAGTTTCACTGGTTTCTTCTCATAGGCTAGTGCCTCATCGATATCAATATTTTTCGGTTGCAATACATGAGAAGGATCTGGATGATACTTCTTGAGTATAGACACATGGAAAACATGATGAATTTGAGACAAACTCGGTGGCAGTTCCAATTTATAGACCACATTTCCCACACGTTGAAGAGTCTTATAATGTCCTACAAATCTCGGTAGCAACTTCTTTCTTTTTCCTGCCATCAAACTTGCTTTCAGAGGCGTGATCTTAAGGAAAACTTGATCTCCAACCGAAAACTCCAAATCCTTCCTCCGATTATCTGCATGGCTCTTTTGACGGCTCTGAGCTGTCTGAATCCTTTGGCGTATTAACTTCACCTTTTCATACGCCTCTTCAATCCATGGTACTGCAGTTGGGTCTAAATCTTTTTCCACCTATTTCATCCCAACATATCAGAGATTTACACTTTTGGCCATAAAGTGCTTCATACGGAGCCATTTGAATGGATGAATGGAAGCTATTATTATATGCAAACTCCATTAATGTCAAATACTTACTCCAACTCTCTCCAAAATCCAAAATACAGGTTCTTAACATGTCCTCAAGGGTTTGAATTATCCTTTCCGACTGTCCGTCAATCTGAGGGTGGTATGTAGTGCTAAAACTCAACTTAGTTCTTAGCATTTCTTGCATCTTCTGCCAGAACCGAGAAACAAACTGAGAGTCTCGGTCAGATACAATACTTATAGGTATCCTATGTAGCCTTATAATCTCATCCAAATATAGCTTTGCTAACTTCTCCAATGGGTACTTCATACTAATCGGCAGAAAATGAGCAAATTTGGTCAATCTATCTACTATCACCCAAACAGCGTCGTGACCTCTTTGTGTCCTTGGTAATCCAGATACAAAATTCATGGTGATATTTTTCTATTTTCACTCGGGTATCTCTAAAGGTTGCAGTAGACCAGACGGTTTCTGATGCTCAGCTTTAACCAGCTAGCAAATCAAACAAGTCTGGACAAACCGAGCAATTTTCTTCTTCATGTTCTCCCACCAGTACAAGCTCTTCAAGTCTCGGTACATTTTATTCCCTTCAGGGTGTACCGTATACTTAGATCGGTGCGCTTCTTCTAAGATTTTCCTTTTTAGCTCTTCATTCTTGGCACCACTATGCGATTTCGAACTTTAGTACACCATTTATTCCCAGATTAAAATTTGACTTTTCCCCCTTGTCAACTTTCTCTAACCACTTTTGTACTTCAGAGTCCTTCCCTTGTGCCTCCTTGATACGATTTAACAAAACGGATTTCACGACAATGTTCCCAAAAATCACTTTTCTCGGTTCGAAACGAGGGTTCCAAATACTAACCTTCCAACAAGTGCAATTCTTTAACCATCAATCCTGCTACTTGCACTTGGCAACTTAAACCATCTGCTACCACATTAGCTTTCACTGGGTGATCATTGATCGTGCAATCATAATCTTCTAAAAATTCCACCCATCTACGTTGTCTCAAATTCAACTCTTTTTGAGAAAACAAGTACTTAAGACTCTTGTAGTCCGTAAAAACCTCAAACGTCACCCCATATAGGTAATGTCTCCATTTCTTCAATGCAAACACTACAGCCGCTAAGTCCAAATCATGAGTTGGATAATTTCTCTCGTGAGGTTTTAACTTTCTAGAAGCATAAACAATCACCTTATCATTCTGTATCAATACACACCCCAAGCCTTCTTTTGAAGCATCTGTATAAACCACAAAGCTATCTTTTCCATTAGATAAAGCTAAAACAGGTGCCCTTGTCAAATGTCTCTTTAACTCCTGAAAACTTTCTTCACACTTAGGGCTCCATATAAATTTCAAACTTTTCCTAGTCAACTCAGTCATGGGTCCCGCAATCATAGAAAAATATTTGATAAACCTCCGGTAATACTCTGCTAAACCTAAGAAATTTTGAACTTCAATAGGGTTTTCTGGTTGCTTCCACTTAGAAACTGGTTCAACTTTGGTCGGATCCATCTTAATTCCTTCCTTGGAGATTATATGATCTAAGAAGGCCACTTCCTTCAACCAGAATTCACATTTACTAAACTTAGCATACAACTAATGCTCCCTTAAGGTTTGCAAAAATAATTCTCAAATGTTTCTCATGATCCTCCAGAGTTTTAGAATACACCAGTATATCATCAATAAATACCACCACAAACTGGTCCAGATAAGGCTTAAAGATTCGGTGCATTAAATCCATAAAGGTTGCAGGAGCATTAGTCAATCCGAACGGCATCACTGCGAACTCAAAGTGTCTGTACCTCGAATTAAAGGCAGTCTTAGATATATCTTTTTCCAAAATCCTCAACTGATAATAACTCTGCCTGAGATCCAACTTTGAGAACACCACCGCCCCTTGCAATTGGTCAAACAATTCATCAATGTGGGGCAAAGGGTACTTATTCTTGATAGTAACGTCATTCAAGCCTCGGTAGTCTATACACAACCTCAAGCTACCATCTTTCTTTTTAACAAACAACACTGGAGCTCCCCACGGTGAATCACTTTCTTTTATGAAGCCTCGCTCTAGAAGATCCTATAATTGTAATTTCAGCTTTTTCAATTCGGCTGGAGCCATTCTATAAGGCGTCTTAGAGATAGGTGCTACTGCTGGAGTCACATCAATTTTAAAAGCTATTTCTCTTTCAAGTGGCAAAAATTCTAATTCCTCAGGAAAAACATCCGGATACTCCTTAACCACTGGCATGTCTTCTAATCTCACCTTATCACTAGGAATATTTATAAGAAAAGCCAAATATTCTTGAGCTCCTTTACTCAACATCTCTCTAGCTCAAATTCCTGAAATAAGAGCAAATGAGGCTAATCTACCCCTTACATTCAATTTTAGGGTTGCCTCTCCCGAAATATACAGTTCTACCGTTTTCATCTTACAATTCAATTGAGCATGGTAACGGGCTAACCAGTCCATTCCTAGGATGACATCATACCCCTTAATAGCTAAGCTCATCAAATCGGCCAATAATTTTCGCTCTCCAACCCATATCTCACAATCTTTATACATCAAGTTAGCAATTAAACTTTGATCCCCAGTAGGCGTTCTAACCTCCAAGTCATAAGGTAACTTAATTGGCTTCACATCTATCCCACTCATGAACTTAGGGTTTACAAAAGAATACGTTGCACCAGGGTCAATTAAAACCTTAGCTAAACGGTGAAAAATAGGGATCGTACCTTCAACTACCTCAGTGGCATCGGGAATCTATTGATGATCCAAAGCATAAACCCTAGCCGGCACCTTAGATCGACTCCCTCCAGCACTGGACTGCTTAGATGCCGATTTCTCTGGCCTTTGGACACTACCTCCCTCTTTTAGTATACTTGGGCATTTTGAAATCTGGTGCTCGGTACTGCCACAGTATAGACACTTTCCCGATTTCTTCCAGCACTCATTCTCCATGTGGTTGGACTTACCACAGTAGCCACAAACTACTTGAGGAGCCACGGCCTGACCACCAAAAGGTGTTCCTTTCGCTTGACCTTGCCCATTCCAGCCTCCTCTTGATAGAGCCCCTCTTGGTGCTCCAGCAGTCCTTACTCCTCCCGTACCTCTTTCCATCTTAGGAGGTGGGGCACCCTTACTTGATTGTCCAGGAGGGTGACTAGGAGCGCCCCTTTTTCTTGGCATGAAAGTCTCTCACTTGCAGCCTCGCACTTTCGACTCTCTGTGCTTTTTCTAGGGCTTCAGTTAACGTAGAGATTTGGGCTGCTGCTAATCCCTCATGAATCTCCACATTAAGTCCTTATACAAAGCGTCTTATCCTTCTCCGTTCATTAGCCACCAATTCCGGAGCATACTTAGAAAGTTTAGTAAATCTCCCCTCATAGTCGGCCATGCTAGAAGCTCCCTGTCTCAATATTATGAATTCTGTGAGGACCCAAAAATTTAATTATTTTAATCTCATATTACTGGTTTATTTAAATATTTATTCACCCGTTTTCTCCGAATAATTTATTTCAACCCTTTTAAAACCATTTACATGGAACTATGCCTTACATATATTTTTAAAACATTCCGTTAGCAAATTTAATTTTCGCAAGCTCGTTTAGTGAGAAATAGCGAAAATATGTTTTTCGAAATAGTATTTGATCTAAGAGTGCAGTGACCTTGGAGATTTGAGAACTCATGCATTAGTCTTAAAATAGTTATTTTTATGATTAATTACCCTAGTATAAGCTAGTATAAGTCACTTATATTATCGTTACAAGAATTTCTTTTAAGTTTCGCTTTATCGCACGCGAATTGGAAGTTCACATATATCGAGGCGGAACGGCTAAGTGGAGATTTAAGAAATCAATACTAGACTACTAAGAGTGAATAATTATAATGTTAAAGGAAGTACATTAGAGGTTTAGTGCACAAGTGAAACAACCCCGAGAGAAAATGGACACGAAACGCGCGCGTGCGCGCACTATTCCTAGTTGACTTTTGAAGGAATCTTAATCACAAAACCTCAAGCTTCTCAAGAAAGCTTCATGACACACCAAACTCTTCTTTTTCACCTCAAGTGCCGGCTGAAGCTCTCCAAGGAAGAAGAAGAAAACTCTTCACCATTTCACTCCAAATCACCTTAAACTTTGCATCCAACCTCAGAATTTCTTAGAGATTCACTTAAACTAGAAGAAAGACATCATCTCATGGTTTTCTTGGGGCTCTAGTAGTGCAAAAATTTCTGGTTTCTCTCAAGGATTAGGAGGTAATCATCCAATTACTTAATCTTAGCTTTAGTGGGTTTAATCGTTGCTATGAAGTTTGTAGCTTCATTATAGTTGTTGTTATTTGGATTTAAATGGTTGGAGTAGGCTCTATGAAATCCCACCTTGGATATATGGACTGATATGATGATATAATTGTTGGTTTGAGTTGTTTAAGCATTGGTTAAGATGATTTTGGATAGAGAATCGGAGGAAAACCGAAGAAAATTTCACTTGGGCTGCTGACCGAAAATCTGTCCTGTTTTGCCGTGGCTTTAGTTCAAATTTTTGTTGCTCAAATGATTTTGAAACTGATATATATATGTTATATAGTGTGTGTAGAAAGTTTCTACCAAAAAACATTTGAATTGGTTGAGAAAATTTGAGTTTTGGCAAGAACAAATCTGAAAAATTCGTGTATCACTGGTCCTCTGGCAGTATTCTTTGAACGAGCATATCTCTCTGTCCGGACGTCA